CACACGCACACACACGCACACACACACACACACACAGAGAGAGAGGTTTTCATGTTTTATGGGAACTTTCCATAGACATGATTTACAAACTGTATTTTCTATCCCATAACCCTAAACCTACCCATTACAGAAAAATACTGATATTTTTACATTTTCTAAAAAACTTCATTCTATATGATGTCTAAGATGTTTTCCTCATGGGGGAAAAAATGTCCCACACCGTCAAAAAGTACCTGTATTGGACAGTTGGTCCCCATAATGTATGGGGTCTGGGGTAGCACAGAAATATATATATTTTTTTTTTCAACATAAAAATGACTATAAAGTACTGGATAAAGTTCTACACAACTGAATACAATTAATTTGTACTTAATTGTAATTGGGATAGTGGTGGATTAGTGATTGGGTTTATTTAGAAAACTTTTTTTTTTAATTAACTTTAGTATTTATTTACTTCGAGATCCACCAAAAAAATAAAAAGATATTGTCCAAACATTTTTGGTTGACTTTTCTAACCTTTTTAAATGTATGCATCTTTTATGTCAAATTCTATATGCTGTTACCAATCACTATAAACATAATCCATGCTTGCACTACGGAGGTGGCACAGATATTGCATCTAAAGTGGCATTAGATGTATTTGCACAGACTTTTTGTTTGTTTGTTTGTTTGTTTGTTTATGATTTAACGCCATGCAAGCTACCTTGGCTATATTCATGGTGAGAACGAGGTTAGTTAAGTTAAATTAAGTTTTTAAATTTGATCATGGATAAAAATTCTAAAACTAAATCTGGCCATAAAAGTCAACAGAAAAATAATGAGTTCTGACAGACTTTAAACTATTACAATCCATCAAAATATGCTTAAAAAGATAATGGATTCTGGCATAAAAAAACAAAGGAGGATCTTCACCCGCCAACAGAAAACTATGGGTTAGTCTGAATGTCCTATTCGACAGCGAGTGTAGACAATATGATCCCATCGATTTTCAAAGTGGGAACAACGTTTTACACCAACTACAGGATTGATTTTGTATAGTTTGTTTGTTGTGCATTTATCCCATTCAGCTTGCCATTTCTTATAAATATAAGTGTTTATAACAGGTCTGAGGTCTGAAGGTGGAATTGGGCATTTCTTAAGTTCTGAAGATAGCGCTTCCTTAGCCGCTGCATCAGCCTGTTCATTCCCTTTAATACCACAATGCCCTGGTACCCAACAAAAAATGACATTAAAATTCTGTGCCTCCAAGGACCGCAAACTATTTAAAATTTCCACAATTACTGGATGTTCATATTTGGTGGATGCCAGAGTCTTGCACAGACTTTTTAATGCAGATCAGGGGTGGCATTAATGCACTTAAAGCAATTATGAATGCATGAACAATGTTATGGAATTGATGTTGTAAATACAACATTTTGAACATAGAAATATGAAATGAACAGGACAAATAAATTATGTTTTTAAATATGAAACTGAAACCGCCAGTAGGTGGCAGCAAGTCACTGTCTTAATGACAGTCATGGAATCATTTGATTCGCTAAAAGGACTGATCCATTCAGGAATGAATTTGACAGAGGGAGTGAGTCCACTTCAGGCCGCTCTGTATATCACAATGCAACATAATTGTGACGTTACCTCATATCGCATTTAATTTTCCCCGACCCCAAACAACTCTATGATATACTAATTTTTTTTTAAAATATTTAATACAATCCAAACATAACTATATACATATGCCATTATATACATATAGAATGCCAAACAAATTCAAAAAAGAAAAAATGTAATTAATAAATCAACTCAGCGGATTCTAAGGCCCAGTCCCAAATCACACCCTAAACCCTCATGGTCTTCCTCTGAGTCCACAGCTCCACACTTTCGTGAGTGCTGGCTCGGCAGAAGTGCGCATCAAGGGCGCATAGCGGCCACACATATGAGTCAATGAGACGGAGGGAAGTTAGTGAGGGAAGGGCATAAAAAACAAAGTGGAATCCAGCCTATATGAATGGGTAATTAAATCATTCCTTCAGCCGATTCCTTCAGAATACGGATTCATTCAGAAACCAAACACCTGCGTTACTCTGTTCTGGATTTATTTGGAACAATTTTCATTGGCGATATAGAGCAAAAACACACAATATTGTGTCTAAAATGTAAGTCACTTAACATTAAGTTCTTGTTTTTGAATTGAATAAAATCAGTATCACATTTGCAGTCGTGCTGCTATTAGGGAAAACAGCACTCTTCTTCCTTGTCTGATATTGCTTAATATAAAAAACAAGAACTCACACAGACAGATGTCACTGGCACTAAATGGCCGTATGGTGTGAGAGCGTGAGTACAGTGTCAATTGCGTGAGAGTTAGCACTGGCAGCCCTTAGCCATGTTCTTAAATATATAACAATTACATACATGCGCAGTTTTGATGCTGCTTTAATCGCCTCCATATTTAATCAAGTTGTTTTAACTGTTCCAATCGTATATACTGTTCGCCATTCCTGAGGCTTCAGGTCCAAGTGGTTTATTCTTTTGTCACATTACATCCCCATAGGCTGAAGCGGCTGACATGCCACATGACAAAAGATCGAACGACTTGGACCTGAAGGCTCAGGAGGTGAATTAATCATTTCTGTTCCCGGCACAGACTACAAAGTCTAGCCTATATGATGACTCAGACCCAAAGGGCTTGTCCAAATACTCACACTTGTGGTCTTTGCACTTAACCATGTGTCTACTTCTATGACGTATTTGGCCCAAGTGCTTAAGTGAGCATGAAGACCACCACAAGTGTGTGTAGAAGTTTTTCATTACCCGATGGGACACACTTATAAAAAAATGCAAGTGTTTACAGAGCTTCATTTTGATTTTCAATACTTTGCATGTAAAATAAACATCTAAATGTCTGTTCAGTAGTCCCTACACAGTAAAATCAGCAGTGTAATATTTGCAGTGTTAAAAGTTATTAATTCCCAAAGAGTTGAATTAACAATCTACAGTGTTAAACAGTACTCATGCTCAGTGTTGTTACATGCTGTAATTTCACTTTTACACTGAAAGTGCGGGGAAAAAAACCCGCCGAATTGTCTGGACTCCGCCCTTTAATGACTGCTGCCTCGCGAAGCGACGACGCCATTTTATCTTCAAGCGACCGAGACGGTAAGTTGGATTGCTTTTCACTTTATAAAATTACACGGGAAAAACATTTTTGTTGATAATTTTGCTCAAAATATGATTGGTGGTTAACACATTTAGAAATTACTAACTGCGAGTGTTTTTGTCAGGTTTACGGTGTTAAGTTCGTGTACGTGAGGTGCAGAGATGTAGCATACAAAAGAGTGTGAAAGTTTCTCATGCCGGTTCGATTTCCTGAAATAAGGTTATTTTATGTGTAAAATAATTTTTTAGAATACGTTTACAATTTATGTTATATTTACGTTTAGCTTCTTTCATTTTGGTTCGTTGACAGATCTTCTCGCCTCCATTCCCGCCGAGGCCTGGTTTTACTACGAGTCTGGCACTGAAGTCTGAAGCAGCCACATCTGGGCGGTTTTCTTCTCATATGAGAGAATTCATCAAATGGTAAATTTATATTTGTTTTTGAAAGCATTGAGTGTGATATTACACTGTTTCCATGCTTTGAAACTGTAGTGGGACTGTTAAACATTAACACACTTACAATTTCGTTTTTGTGATGCATGACACCGTGTTGAAGTGTCGTGTCGCGCCAGCTTCAAACGAGCAATGCAGTCTAACGCGTGGTGGTGTAACGCGGAACATATATCAGTCATTTAATTGACGTTATCTAATGCAAAACTGTGAAATTAGATCGCGCTTAAAAACTTACATTCGCCCTAGGCTTAAGTGTGAATTGTGCGATGCTTGTTCTCAGTGCTGAATATCATGTCTATCTGCGTCAAGATCACCATCAAGTTTTTCTTATGACAATTACGTTTATGCAAGCATCGTGAAAGTGAGTTAAAAGTACGTTAAACTGTAAATCCGTCAGTCTTTCAATTTCCTTCAGTGCCCACTGGCAGAGCATGCAGGTACTTTAGCTTGAAACCAGTCTTTATCAATTTATATG